CTATTAGTCCTGTTTACTGGAAAGAAAACCCTAATTTAACAGTAAATGATATTAAATTTCAATTTTATTTAAGAGGAATTCAAATGCCAGAAGAAAGCGAAATACAAGAAGAATTGAAACACAAAGGCAGAGGCAAGGCGAGAACATACAAACAATATTTAGTGGATATGATTTTAGACACTATTGATAATGGCGGGTGGATAGTAAATTTAAGCAAGGGTAGAATAGAAGAACTCAAGGCAAGTTTTAAGGGCAAAGGTAAGAAATAATATATAAATAATAATAATAATAATGATAATATTAACTAAAAATATACTGAAAAGAAAGAAGCAGAAATTCAATGATAAATATGATGATGACAGTTTTTCAATACATAACCTAATGAAACCAAACACTTCAACAACAATACAACCACCGAAAATGATGAAAAAGGCATACCGAGAGAATTTGTTGACATTGCAACCAACACAGATACTATTGCTACAGCAACCAGAGAGACGCAAGAAAAGTTATACAATGATGCAAATCAACCATTAAATGTGACATTTGAAGCGTTTAAGGTAAAGGAACACCAGGACAATATGTTTCAACTAATGCTTAAAAACTTTTGGCGCAACACATACAAAAGAAATGAGCCAACAAGAACACAAGCGACACAAACACTGAAAAACCAACGCGACGCAATGGTGTCAGCCTTTACTGAAATGCTTGACAACAACAAACCGCCAGAACCACCGCCGAAGAAACCACCAGATGAGGATGACAGCGATGAAGAAGAAAAGAAGTTCAAACTGACAAAAATGATAGAAATAATGCTACACAACGGCGCTACAATAGCAGATATCATACTAAACTTATCACACAGTGCAGTTGCAACAACTATAAATATCGCAGATTTAGTCAATCAAATAACAGCAGGACATGCACAAGGTAGCGGTAGCAATTCATCAAATGAAGCTATTGGTGTTCATAGTTCTCCACCTATTACTGTTCATAGTTCTTCATCTGAAAGTCCAACAGAAATACCAGCACCAACTGAAGACGAAGATTCAGAAGAAGAAGAAAAACAAAAAGATAATTTTGAAAAATTAAAATCTAAATAATATTATATATAATGGGTATTGGTCAAAGTAAAAAGGATGCAAATAACAGTATGGAAGACATTAAGACTTTAAGAGTAGACGAAAAAACAAGAGCAGATACTTTAATAATAAAATCTATTCAAGAATGTGTGGCACGAATTGAGAAATTAGTTAAAGAACAATCTGACAAATTAATCTATAAACTTCCTGCTTTACAATTTTGCAATGCTTCATTAATTTAAATTGATAATATTAAAACATAATTAATATTATTAATTGCTATCATAATCTGTCATTTCACTTTCGGGTAATTTTGTTGAGGCATTGCTACACATATCATCTATTAAATCTTCTTCATCAACAAAATTATTTTGAAATCTTAATAATTCCTCGTCTGTTGGTCGTCTTTTTAACACTTTATAAAGTTTATGTATCCAAGAATTAGTATGAAAATTATAATTACTTCTACGGTAAAATCCACCACATTTACATAGTTCATTAGCATATTATTATATTATATTAAATTAGAATATCTTTATTCATCATTTGTAATTTGAAATGCCTGTTCAAAATTGATATGAAACATTTTGTTAATGTCTTTTGAATTCATATTCACGTAGAAAAAATAATATGGAGCAAAATTAACGGCTTGATGATACATATCTAATAATTGCTGTTTGTCAACAATGGCACTATTTTCTTCAATAAAACTCATGAATTCACTGGCATTTTTCAACCTAAAAATATATAATGAACTGGCATTTAAACGAACGATAGGCGCCAACACATTGTATTTCTGTGTTGAACAAATTACGCTTACTGCATCGTGCCTGCCTCTTGTAAATAATCCATGTAATAATTTTCTATATCTAACAAATTTAGGGTCGTCTGCGTGGTCATCTATAACGATTAATATTGAATGCAGTTTCTTTATCTTTTTAGACTTCATATAATTAATAATTTTCTTCTGTCTTTCAATTACATTTTCTAAATCACTTGGATTATAATTATCAAAATAAATTTGTTCTTTCTCATCATCCACGTGCAATTCATCCCTGATATATTTTTTAACTTCTGTAAAGGTTGGGTCATTATGAACGCTGGGGGAAAATATAAATATTCTTGCAAATGAATTTCTATAAACATTTAAAATAAGGTTCTGGACTAAAACTGTTTTGCCACCTGTCGAACTCGCAACTATAATACTTCTAAATGGTAATTTTGGCACGTGCTCATATTTGGATTGTTTGAATTCATATTCAGTTATGTGTATTGGTTTTATTATTGGGACATCTGTCATAGTTAATATTAAAGAAATATAGAAAATTATATTTAAGAATTAACTTGTAATTAATATTAAATGGAACATCTTTTTTATGATATGCTGGTAGTGAATATCATAAAAAACGGAACAGGTTTCCATTGCTTCAATCAGTAAGCATTGAAGCTAATTAGTTTGAAGAATTGCAATGAAAACTCCAAGTGCTGTGCCCCCATCAATATTCTATTATGCATTGAAATAATAAGATTAAGTAATTATTTCATCTTATTATTTATATGAATAGGAGTTATTCAGATTATATTAATATAATAGATGAAGTGGAACATATAGAACAAGTAATAATAACTGACAATAAAATAAAAAAAATGTTGTTATTATTCATTAGAAATACTTAAGCTAGGAATACAATGTATCAAAAATAGAAATGTAAATATTAATATAAATGGGAAGAAAGAAAATCAAAAAGAATAAGACAGAACCAGCTGTATCTTCTTCAACAGATGAAGAAATTGTTAAAGAAGCATCAGTTATTGAGTTTGCTTGTCCTATGTGCAAAAAGATGTTAGAAATGAAAAATGAATTAGAAATACAAAAGAAAGGAAATTGTAAATGTTCATGTATTCCAACAAGTTTCAAATTGAGTAAAAAAGATATAAGGATGAATATTGATAAAACTAAAGACAGTATCAACTTAGAAATGGATGCTCATAACATTACATTTAAATGGGGTAAGGATGCAACACTCTCGGAAATGGCGATAACGAAACACAGGAAACTATTAAACAAATGCTGAAAAATTAGCATTTAAGGAGTAGATTTAACACCACTTCAAACGCATAAATAAATAAATAAATATATAAATATTTATATATATAGAAATGTCTGAAGTTGAGAATGATGCTATTGCTGAACTATCAAAGAAGATAATGACAGTTAGTAAAAATGTTAAACTGTTGTACGAGATGATAAAAACTATTGACCAGAAACTTGATGCAAAGGCAAACGAACCAAAAAATAACAATGAAGAGAAGGAAAAGATTGACAAAATCTTTGAAAAGAAAGGGATAGGCAGACCCAGCGGTGATTATGACACGAAGCGTAAAAAAATATTGTGATATGGTAAATAAGGGACAAATCAAAAGTCCAAAAGAACAAACATTAGAATATTATAAACTAATTAAGGGTGATGATGGTAAATATGTAATTGTTGAAAATTAAAATATAAATCATTCTAATAAATGAATTTATTAGAGATGTTTAGCGGAACAGGCAGTGTAGGAACCATAGCAAAGTCGCTCGGTTTTAATGTAATATCGTTGGATTTGAAAAATGCTGATATTAATTGTGAAATTTTGGTGAGTTTGGTGAATTAAGGAAAACGAGGTTGTGGTTGGGGTTGAAATCAAGTTTCAACCCTTTTGGTGGAACCTCTTTCCCCCTTTGGTGGAAACAATTTTATCACTTTTTTAATAGGGCTTCCACCTTTGGTGGAACCTCTCCCCCCCTTTGGTGGAACCTCTTTCCCCCTTTGGTGGAACCTCTTTCCCCCTTTGGTGGAAACAGTTTTATCACTTTTTTAATAGGGCTTCCCCCTTTGGTGGAAGCTCTTTCCCCCTTTGGTGGAAGCTCTTTCCCCCTTTGGTGGAACCTCTTTCCCCCTTTGGTGGAACCATTGAAGTTCAGGGGTCAGACGATGATGAATACTTCGCTTATTCTATCAACTACACTTCATCATGAATAATTTTAATAAGATAAAATATTAGATTTATTCAATATGTTTGTAATTGTTCTTTGTATGGTCGGTTGTTTGGTTTTTTGTATGGTCTGTTGTTTGGTGTTTTTTTTCTATGAGGGTCTTACCCCAGAGCAAAAATATTACTTGTGTCTAAAACTATTTAAAGGGTAGATTGCATGTTATTGTAGAAGATTATGGAAAGGAAATCTTGCGCGTGTTGTGGATGTCATAAGGATGGAAATGTATTTACCGATAGTTGTAAAACTTGTGATCGATGCCGTGAAAGGCAGAAAAAGAAAGACCAAAGAAAGAGACTGATAAAAGCGATGGATAAGCAACAAAAAGAAATAGAAGAAGGAGAAAAACAATACTGCACACATTGTAAACTTAATAGAAAGATTGGGGTATTTTCGGAAAATCATAAAACTTGTGATTTGTGTAGAGAAAAAATGAAAATCTACTCGCAGACATGGAGAGATAATCATAAAGAGGAGATAAGTGAAATAAATAAAGACTATGGCATGAACATATTTGTGTGCTCTGTTTGTGATTGTGAGGGTAGATTGAAACATAAGGCGAGGCATGAAAAAACAAAGAAGCACATTGATAATTTAAAAAAAGATGAGGTTGAAGATAATTGAAATGGTTTAAGTTATTCTTGAAAAATGAATAACTTGAAACATGTTATTAATTATTTTATGTGTTTTGGTGAGTGGATTGATAAATTATGTTGGGCGGGATTTGGAAAAGTGGGTATGTTGCTTGCGGGGTGGATGTGATGTGAGGCAGGTTCGCTATTTTCCACACTCCAGCGGCCAACACAGAATGAACATGCACACCAGCCAGGATCAGAAGCCACAATATGTCAGGGCTCTTGCCGCCCTTGAGCCCTTTCTCTCAGGTGGCAACAAACCCCGGCCTCAACGAGGACCATGAAGAGGCTTGACACGAGGGTAGGTCATGACAGCAGCTCGGTGGGGTTGCTGCAGTCTCGGCGTGCGAGCAAGACCTTGATGGCTGCAGCCCCAGTGTGCACGCACGCTGTGCTTCCTGTGCCTTCACCTCGAGAGTTTGGGATTGTGAGCTGCATTTTCTGAGATTCCTGGGTTGGCTGGAACTATGACGACCACTTGGGGCTCGCTCCTTCCTCAGCATGGAACCCGAATTTTAAGATTCTTTGGGTGAGGGAATTGGACTCGAAGGTCTCATCCCGTGCCAACACGCAGCTCTTCACGCTCTTCACAGCCAAACCAGCCTATGTCTGCTCCCTGGCAGTGCATGATTGCCTGACGTGCGTAAGCAGGTCAACAAGCAGCAGGTAGCCATGGAAAGCCATTCGCTGATGATACAATGTAGTTGTGGCGAGAAAAGCCTTCAAGGCCAGTGAGTGGTTTCGGCATGGTGCCCGTCAAATCCTTGGCTACGAGCTGAGAAAGACGTTCTCCGCATCGCATGCGGCTGCATGTGGCAAGCTGCGCAGAGCTGCCATCAGGTTGCCGAGATGCGAAGCAACTCCCAGCTCGGTTCCATTCCCGTGCAGTCTCATGCACGAAATGGCGAGCACAGATCCAGTTCAGGCAGCTGGCACTTATCTAGTGTTTGGACGCATGGCTTGATTGCCTGGATTTGAGACATCAGCCAGATCTCGCAGTGCTTGTCCAGGTGGGGCTGTTGACACATCTGCTTTTGAAGCGCGGATCCATGATCTGGAGGAGAAACAATTAGGAACCCAAAAGGACGCCTATTTGGGAACGGATAAGCCAAGAAGGGGTGTCTCAAGCCAGGGACTTGCCCCGGGCAAAAAATCGGAGGGCTTGCCAGAGCGGTGTAGTGTCTGGACCTGGCATCGATCCGGTTCGGGTTCGGTTCGATGGTTCAGGAGCAATGCGAGGAGGCCGAAGCGAAGCTCACCACCTGCGTCTTGGTGGAACATTTGAGGCAGACCAGAGACGATTCCACGCCTATCGATCTGATTCAATGATTCAATCACACTTTTTTTTTCTCGGCTTTCCCAGCTTTCCCAAACCCCCAAACGTGAGGGGGCGAACCACGGTGACGGAAAAGCCGCCGCCGTTTCCCCCCCCCCCCCCTTTTTTTGGGTCGACGGCTGAGGCATGCAGCAGCTGGAGTCCAGCACTGCAGAGCTGGAGATGGCGCAGCACGAGGTGGCCAGCGAGCGGATGGCCCACGCTGCCTCCCAGGATGACCGGCATGGAGGTGAATTATAACGACCTCACACGACTGAATTGACCCCAAATGGTGGCTTATGTTGGGAATGGCCTCCCAACCGCCTCATTTCAGGTTGGTGAAATATTATAATTCACCTAGATGGAGGTGATCCTTTATTCGCTTCGCTCCGGAAACCATGGTTTTGCCTGTGGTCAAGACGGCTTTCCTGAGTTGCATGTGAGCAGGCAGGGCAGAAGGCCCATTTGCTTGTTCGAGGAAGTTTGCAACGTTGTTCCCCGCGCTTCGGCAACTGTTCCAGCACTTGTCCTCTCATCTTAGAGACACAAATAGCACTCGATGCAACCCCAAAACCACCTCAAGCCCACCTGAACCAAGCAGACAAGCTCCAATACACCAGCCCCGAAGTACCCGTCGTTGGGACACCGAAATGCACATTCCGGAGGGGGAGTGATCAGCGACCCTCCGGCGAGGTGCGCAAGCAAACCTGGCGCAACAACACCCTGCGGGGCCATTTAAAATTTGGGTCCAGCAAGCGTGATCCAGCAAGAACTGCCAGGAGAAAGTGGCGCAGTTGGAGGAGTTGAGTGCGCAATTGCAGGACCGTGTCAACAGTGCGTTTGTAGCATCAAAGTGCCGGGCCTGATGCTAGGATCAGAATTTGGGATTTATCAAGACCTTTGAAGAGCAGCTTGAGTGCTTGCCTCAATTCGCCAGATCAGCTTGAGTTGAATGAGCGTTGCAGGCATGCCTTTGGTCATGTTGCCAAGGACATCCAGAAGAGACATCAAGCAGGAGGCAGGAGTCTAAGCTGGTTTAGCCGTTTTGCCTGCGGAAGCTGTAGGCAGCAGCCATTCGCTACCCGACCCCAACTGCCATTTCGTTGCAACCCATTCCTTTACCCACTTCACCCAGCCAGCACGGCGAGTGGATCCATCTCGTGGCATTTTCGCAGCAGAATCGGTTCCATTGCGTCGCAGATGAGCGAGCAGTACCAAGCGGTGCTTGACGCCCAAGCCAAGAAGGTTCACGAGGCGAGCGCAGCAGAGGGTGCGTTGGCCAGGAGGAAATCCATGTTGCAGCCACTCAGAAACCGATGATTCCCTTAGATTCCCTTGTAAATGGCTTGGTGGCCAACAATGTTCCAACCATCAGGTTTTTCTGATTCGATGCCCTGATAAATGCCAACAAACGTTATGGTTTCAGCATGGCTTCAGCCCTGGTTTCTTAGGTGCTGCGAAGGGATTTCGTCCATCACAGTAGGTTTCGGTGCGACTGATGCTGTGGCAGTACTCGCGTGGATCGCAGGCTGAAGGCAATGCCAAGCGACTAGAAGGCCAACTCCGGGTCACGGCAGCTCTGGCAAGTACCGGCAGGGACGACAGTGGCATGAATTCTTCAGATGTAACAGGGATCCCTTCAAACGTGTCAACCTTTTTCGGGCGTTGCCCAAAATTGGGTACCAGAATTGATGGTGTTTTTTTTTGGGTTTCCCTTTTGCTCATTAGCGGACTTCGTGTCTTGGGCATTCATTTGGAGATTCCAACGATGACCATGCCGTTGCATGCCAGCTCGACAAGATCAAGGACCTGGAAGCGGCCAGCACCTTAGAGCATTCGAACTCTGCGTGATTTGCCAGCGAGTCATTTCCCGGCGCGTCATTTCCTGGCTCAAGCTGTGAGCTGTCAAAGTTCTTGACCCTTTTTTCGCGCCGTTGAACATCGCTATGTTTGCAACCGTTCATATCGCTGCGTCTTTTTGTAGTTGCCTAGCAGTTCGCTGGGAGACAAAGAAGGCGATCAACAACAGCCAACAAGAAACAAAAACCCGTGCCAAGGGATAGCATGCTGCAATTGCAGATGGGTTTGCTAGATTCGCATAAGACAGAGCTACCTCGTTCTGCATCTGATTGCTCTTTATTTCTGCTTTACAGCCTCCATACATGGTAGGGTAGGTGTGGACAGACTGCCTTCTTGCTTTAGGCTCTTCGACAAGAGCGCAGTAATGCGAGAAGGAGCGAGGCGCACCATGTTTTAAAGCAACTCCTCGCTTGCGCAAGCGAGAAGGAATAGTTTCTCCAGAAGGGTCTGGACAGTGACCGCCTGAACAGAACTGAACAGCGCAAACTGCTTGCGCGAGGCAGCTTTGGCCGGCGAGCATGCCAAGATAGAGGAGATGACAGCCAAGATTCAGAGCCAGGCCCGGGGATTGCTTCGAGAGGCCAAAGTCCAGTCGCCCCTGTCGACGCCAGTGGCGCCAGGCGGCTCGGCTTCGCCAGCTGGAGTACTATGCCAACTCCTGGGAAAGGAAGGTTCATGAGCTGGCGGAGGCAAATGCCATCAAGGCCGCGCTGTCTCGAGTTGGAGCCTTGCAAGTGGAGCGTGCCGAAGGTTCTCACGGAGCCGAACAACGTTCACACGCGGGAGACCCAGAGGAATCGTGGCATTCGGACATGACATGTTGAGAATGGTCCCCCCCGACCGCTTTTTCAGTTGGGACCTTTGGATGCTCGCAAGATCGAGGTTCAGAGTCTCCAACTTCTCGAGGTTGCGGTTGTGGCCCAAAGGCCGTGCAAGCGCCAAGCGCTTGGGTGCTGTTGTTTTGTGCGTGCTTCAGTGGTAGGCCGGATGGTGCAAAGCCCGGAGTTCAAGATCTCACAGCTCGCTGCCAAGATGTGTCTCGCAGGTTTTGGTCCACCTTTCTATTCACCAGGGTTCCATGTTGGACTACTTTTGAGACACATCCATGTGTTTCTTCTGCCAGGTTGGGGGACACTCAGATCGAGTTCTTCCCTGCCGGGGAGGTGAACTCCCGGCCTGGCTGGTGCTCCTTGAGGCACTCAAGGTGTAGGAAGCCGAGTTCCCAGTGCCCTGTGAGAGGCTGAGAATACCCGACGGCACTCGTCTTCGTTGGAGGGCGTGGTGCTGAGTTGATGCCAGGGATTTCAAATGTCAATGTGCTTCGCTCCTGCGTCATTTGGGCGTTGAAAGGTCAAGATCGGATCAAGAGACTTCGACGTGAGGGATGATCATTACGATTCTCGGCAGTGGCGGCGGCCTTAGAAGGTGTGCGAAGATTGAAGATGGTGCCTTGAGATGTGATTGAAGATTGAGATGTCAAGGCCTTGCGTTGACTTCTGACCTTCAGGTGGAACAGGTACGGCATCCAGTGCTTGAACCTCTGCCAGGCCTGTCCCTTCCTTTCCCTTTGCCTGTTGATTGGAGAGAGGAGGACTTGATGGACCGAATGATTCGCAGGCAGAAGAACTCCTACCAGAAGTTCTTCCTGAATCAGATTCTGTCTTGATAGGTATGGAGGCTGGTCGTGACAAACACACCTCCCTCGCGCACGGGGAATGTGCGGCGGACTTTTTGTGCTTTGCGTTTGCCCCCAAATTCGGAGGTCTTGGAGGTGATCTCCAAACCGGCAGCAGACTAAGCATGCGAACTTCTTGAAGGAAATTTGCGTTCATGAGGTGATCTTGAATGCATTTGCTGCCGATGAGATGCTCGAGGCTGGTGCTTTTTGTCGGCAAGAGAGCTCAAAGGGCCCACACCATACCCTAGGCAACCCTACCTACTCCCTTGCTGCAACTTACTAGGATTGGGATCCTTTGAATACACATGCAGATTGTTGTCTGGAATGCGTAGCGAAGGGTTAGTGTGGTGTTTGTTTTTTTGTTTTTGTTTTTTTGTGTGTGTTTTTGTGTGTTTGTGTGTTTGTGTTTGTGCGTGTGGGGAAAGGTTGTGTAGGTGTTCGCAAGCGCCCAAAGCGCCCGCGAGTGTTCGCGTGTGGACATTCTCAGCGGCCTTTGGAAGACACAAATGTGTGCAAACTCCCGGATATGCAAATTCGCTCGCTCGCTCGCTCACACCCTCGCGCCCGCCCGCCCGCACGCACGCACTCACTCAGTGACATGCGCCTAACACACAACTCCCGACCACCTTGTCCACACGCGGTACGCCACCTTTGTGCAGAGGAGAATGCTTCAGAGGGGTGTCGCTGAGACGAACCGCTGTGAGCCTTACAGACCATTGTTCTCAAATGCTTTCATATCGTTGAAGACCGCAAAATCCTCAGCCGGGAGAGAGAAGGTCAGCACCACCGGAAAGGTCGTTGAGCGGAGTATTGCTCAACTCATCGGCGCGTTTGCATGTCATAACAATTGCATCTCAGAACGCTGGTAGCCTGGACGACAGCATAGTTAGTGCAGTTTCGCGCCAAACTCGGATGCGCTTGCTCATCAGCTTCATCATTTTTTTTTTTTTTTTTTTTTTTTTAAGTTTTCTGCCTGCTGATTCGGGGGCTTCTCATGCGTCAAACTGTGGGCAATAGACGAAACCTGCACTTCTTGGCAAAACCGACTGTACCGCTCTGTTGTTCCCAGACGTTTCCTTTTTGGTGTCATGGTTTGGCCGCTTGTTGCTTTGCACCGTTCCTCACACTTACCTACGCAGTGGCAGCTTTACAATTCCTGTTAGAGCTTTCAAACACTTTGAAGCAGCGAATGCAGACCGCAGCGCTCTTTTTTTTAGTCGCCTCAAAGGACCGGGGGAATAGCCTGAGAAAGGTGCGTTTTGTTTGCAGACTGTGAGTGGAACCTTTTTTTTACTAGCCCAGCCCGGCTTGGGGGGCTGGTTGGCTGGTTGGCTGGTTGGTTGGTTGGTCGGCTGGGCGGCCGCATCCCCGGCATCCCCGGCATCCCCGACATTTCCGGCATCCCGGCATCCCCGGCATATCCGGTATCCCCGTATTGCCGGCATCCCGGCATCCCGGTTGCTTGCGGCAGCATCGCCAGCATTACTGGCCTCGGTCGGACTGGGGCTGCCTATTGGCTTTGACTTGGTGGCAGTCCAGGGTTGAGTGTTGGGCGCTGAGGTCTTAACGAGGGCGGGTTTGGTATTTGGGCTCGATAAAGGGCTGATATGCAGGATGCGGTTGGGAGGGTTTAAGTTAAGGTTGACTTTGGGTCGGTTTTGGTTGGATTGGGGCTGATCTATGCTGGGTGAGCGGCTGGTTTAAGCGTGGCTTTCGGGTTGCTTCAGGGATGTGGTTATGCAGGTTTTGGGCTGATTTGGGATTGGTTGCGGGGCGTTGCCCCAAACCACCAATCCTGGCTCAAACTTGCATAACCAGAAATGCTGGGGATGCGGCCCACCAACCCCTGCCAACACCACTTTGGAGGGAGGCCTTGTGCCGAGCCGGGCCTAGTAAAAAGCCGGGGCTAGTAAACAAAAAAGCACCTCAACCACTCCCCAAAAGAACCCTTATTAAGCCCTAAATCCTTCTTTAGGCTCCCTCCCCCTCCCCTCCCTCCCCCCCAGCCCCCCCATAATAGGTCTCCAGAACGCGCAAAGGGTTGCGCCCCTTGCGGCTCGAAGGTTCCGCGGCGGCCTGGTACAGCCCCGCAGCTGCCGCCTTACGAGTTGGGGCGAAGTCGGCGCGGAAGTCTCCGAGCCTCATGAGGCGTCAAGTGGAAAGTCCACAGCTTCCGCCGCAGGCTCCTCCCCAGGCACTCGGGGTAAGGATTCAGTGCGTGTTTCTCCATTCGGAATTTGAGGGATGGGATTGACATATGACATGAGACATGCCACTATGGCAGGGTTTGGGCACCGTCAAGATTGCCACTTTTGGTTCCTCTGCCTTTGCCCGAAGCTTCTGCTTCTGTGCAGGTCACGGTGCCAAGCGCTCCTTTGGTAAAGAGGTGCGCCATGTCAACATGCAGCCTGGAACGTCTTAGCGGGAAAGAGAGAGACGCCAGGGAAACAGCTCGCTCGCAGCCACAGCTGCCGAAACCTGCCGGTGTCTCGGGAATGGTCTGGGGATATTCGATGACACCCTAATTGTATTTTGTACAGGTACGACTTGTTATTGTCGGAAAACAAAAAAGAAAACAGATCAACATGGGAGCATTTCGTCGAGGTGATCAACAAACATGATCATGATCTGATCAACAGGACTTTATTTTCTTCTTTTTTTCTTTCTCGAGTTGTCAAGATACAAAGGGTGGCTGAGTTTTGATCCACTCCCAGGCCCACGCACTTGCAGCGGGGACGGCTTCAGCCGCTGCGGCAGCTGCTGCCTTCGCCGGCCCCTCGGAAGTTTGTTGCGCCGACCGCCGGCAGCGGCGCGGCCACGCCGTAAGAGCCACGTGCTCAAAACCAGAAATATGGCTCTTATGGCGTTAGTAAGGGACTTATGGCGTTAGTAACGGAGTTCCCTTATATGGGTTAAGTAAGGGCAGGGCCAATCTTTGGGTAGATGAAGGTTAGTGAGGGACAATCCCCTTGTGCGAATATCCGCCTTCTGAATTCTTGAAGCGTGGTTCTGGGTAGACCATTTTGATCTCGGGTTTTCATTATGACTCACACGTGCGGTGCGGCCGAGCGCCGTTGCCCTTGGCACGTCTTGCCTCAGTTGAAAAAGGATGAGATGGATCCGCTTGGAAACGGGTTGGATCCGTTTGCTTTTTTTCATTGAACGCCCAGAAAAAATCCCAGCGAGCCCTGGAGGCAGTGAAGAGCGGCAACTTGCCTCCAGCGGTTGCTGCCAGCCGCGGATTGCATAGGCTCGCATAAAGATGGGTGTGAGTCAAAATTCAACCACCAGGGGACCGCAGGTTTTAGTCCATGTGTCCATTTACCGGGGCTCCATCTTGGCTACATATTTTTGATTTGCAACCGCACAAAAGTTAAGGGCTGCCGGTGCTTGACATGTGGCTCGGGTGCACATGGTCCGGGTGTGACTTCGCACACGGACATGTTGTGCGCTCTCCAGGCAACGAAGCTATAGCTCTGTGAGAGCAAGCGTGCCTTGAGCCGTGTTATCCCACGAAATCATGGCGACTTGCTTTTGAATTTGCTCCCCAAAGTTTTATCACATTCCGTCAGCTGCTGCTTGAGGATGCTGACAACTCACATCCCAGCAGATTTTTACGTGTTTCACGGGAAGCCACACCTCCCGTTTGCCAATCAGCTGTGACGGGAAATCGAAGCCACGTTTGATTGTGAACTTACGATCAGTCCTGTTTGTCTTGGTTCCCGGATTCCCGCTTCAGCTCGGCCGCGTGGCCGAACGCCACAAAGTCATGGCGCGAGTGGCCACGAGAGGTGGCTCCGCCTTAAGGGCAGGGCATGCTAGCATGGAGCGAAATCATGCGTCCGGCAGGTGACCAACGGATTCTCAGACTTGGATCTTGGGAGTCGTAGCTCCATCACCGGGTCTGCAGCCCTTGCGACCTTTCTGAGCCTCGGATGTTTCGCAGTGCTGCGCCAACGCGACACTACTTGTTTCCACTTTGGCTGACACACTTGTTTGCCCAGCGCGGGATTTGTCAAGGTTACGATCATCTTTCACAGGCGTATCACGCGGATAGTGCCTACCATAACTCCATCAAATCAGCATATCAGCGCCTGGATCCAGCGCGATGTGAGGACAAGGGCTTAGAAAAACAGGCAGCCTTTCCGTCACTTCAACGGACAACTGGGAGTTGATCAATATTTCTGGCCCCAAAATGACCATTGGCCAACTTTGTCCATTTGGTGGAAGTATCATCCATCTTTTTCGTTTCCAAGCAATGGTCCCATGTTTCCCGGACCTTTTGTTCTCAACCCCCGCCTTGTCCCTGGGCCTTGAGGAGACTCGGACCGAAAGGAAAGCATCGAATGTGGGCTTCCTCGGCACCTGTGGACCGAAGCTCAGGGCTGTTGGTTGCGAAATCCAGACGCGCCACGAAATGAAGCCATGGGGGAAACCATTTTGTTCGTTGGTATTTACGGTGGAACCCTCAGAAACCAGGGTTTCTTGGTGCGAAATGGATTTCGCAACCATCCACTGCATGTTTTTGCATCAGCGTGCCTTATTCATGCAGGATAGTTGACTGCAGCATGGCGTCTTTGTGCAGGTCTCCGTGTGTGCCACTACTAGTCGGGATGGTCATCCACCTGGGTAGTAAGGATCCTTAATGACCGACTTTTATTATGGGAACCATGACCATAGGCCATATAAAGAGTTTTGACCATGTCTCACGTGATATTCTTCACGCCATGATTGAGGCATTGTCCTCTCCCTTTCCTTCTTCCTCTCTCCCTTGTCTCCCTCGTGTGCTCTGTCGTCCTCTCTCCTAAACATTCCTGCGTCAGCACCGTGTTTTCTTGGGCTCCGGCAGAACTTCCCATGAACTAAATCGCATGTGTGAACTAAATCTAGCACTTGCGGGAGTGCCGAACCTGTGCTTAGCCGCTGTGTCCTATGTGACTTTCAGTTCTTGCGTTACTGCTCATGTCTCCCCTCTTGCCTCGAAGCAAGAGAGATGTTTGTCAGAGGCCGGAGGCCGCGCTTGACATGCACCCCGAGCCTAGGATGAAGCCGATGCCGTGAATCTGGACACCACCACGCTCATAGCGCTCACCTCCAACTTGTCCCACGGGCAGGCAGGATTGAGTCTTTGCCAGGCATGTGGCTCAATATCCAAGACCTGGGGTTACGCAGGTTTTAATTTTTGTTTTCCATTTACCCGCTGTTTTTTGAGCCTCAGGTGGGATGGAGGTTTGCTGACCCGGAGCTGGAGAGGCAGGCGACGCAGGAGGCCCAGGTGCGATCTGCGGGGGTTGATCTATGTGGGTGAAAACCGTTTTGGGATCCCATCTTGGAGTAGGTGCACCACCCGTTTTAGAACCTATTTTATTGCACGCCATTGGGATGTTCACCCACAGCCCTATCTTCCGTTCGTCCCCCTTAAATGAGCATGGGGTAGCTTTTCCCATTTTCTGGGACACATCATGCCCTCGGGTTTTTTTGCCAGTTGGTCATCCCGCGTTTCCCGGAGCTGTTGATCAAACATGTGCAGCGCAAGGAGCCCGTCTTGAAGCAGCTGGAGCAGCGCTTGGCTGGGAGGAAGCTCTGCGTATCTCGACGAGCTTTGTCCACGTACCAGCAGATCGTGCAGCGCATGGCCGGCCCGGAGGAAGCTTTGAGGCGATTTCGAGCATGGCTTGGGAGATTTGGTGTGGATTCTGGAACCAGAATGAACTTTTGGATATGCTTAGGAAAGAGCACGTGCGAGCAGAGTAGTGGCTGCCCTGACCATTCTGGAAGCTGCCGCTTGACAGCATCGAAGCAACCGGGACGGGCTGCCTCAATCGAAGGTGCAGCACTGGTGTAACTTCCATTCAGTTTTTGGAATTGGTCCTTGGGCGGACTTCAAAGGTTTTCAGCAAGGCAGAGCCATGAAATTGTTTTGCCGAAGCTCGCCCTTGCCTTTGGTTTGAGACATGCTTGGCCGGATTACGGGACTCAGTGTTTTGCCGTTTTAAGGATCCCGTTCGCGGAATTTCTACGTCCAAGACATTGACACCGCCCATGTTGGAAGCATCTCGGCTTCGGCCAGGGCGCTTTAGACCGAGAAGCTGTGCTCAAGCTTGCCGAGGTGATAGCGGTGGGCCTTGAGAAGAACATGCCCACCAGCATGAGCAATGCAAAGGCGCGCGCGCGCGGAAGTCGGACCCGAATGTTTGCAGCACTTCGGCAAAGCCGATTTGGCAGGTCATCAGAGCGCTTGATGGCAAGGCGCTCATGCTGCCACCTCACATGCCTCGAGCGCTCACAGAGGGTGCCAGCCCTACGTCTTAAGTCTTGAGGCGCTTGAGGCGTTGGTGTGCCCGAGGCAAGCAAGCAGACCCAGCAAGCCGACAGCACCTGCTGCAGGGAGACGAGCTGGAGAAGATGTTTGACAACATCGTAGGCCCAGCGAACATGTCGGCAGCACGAGACTCGACTGGAATGCGATCGTCGCAGGCGATGCAGAGGTGCGATCGCTGTTCGGATGACAGTGGTGCGTGTAGACCAATGAGTTCCTTTGACGTGCTGACTGCCAATGTCATGTGTTTGCGCGAGTGTGGTACACTCATCTTTCAGCTATTTGAGAGGTCTCAGCTGGGGTGGGTCTGACAGCGCAGGCGGGGACTTGCACAAGCATGGCAAAGAGTGTGGCCGACATTGCCAAGGGGAACATTTTGGTCGCTTGCGCACTACTTTATTTAATGCTTTCCGGCTGGTGAGAAATTTCTCTCTGCAGGTGAAGAGATTTTGGAGCATGGAGCCCAGATTTCGGATTTAGGGTCTGCACTGGGCAGAATAACTTGGTGTCGTTTGGTTTCTAGGCCATAAACCCCTTTCCCATTTCCCCCGCCAGGCAACGCGGACCTGATGCGGAAGCAAACAGGTGCTGAACGGCGTGAAAGCAAAAGGCGGGCCGTGCAAGCGACAAAGGGCTGTGGGTCAAAAATAGGTACCCAAAATGGCACCTTGGTAAATGGAACCAAAGATTACCCCTGCTGCTCAATTTGACCCCCACCCGTATTTGCGACATGCGCAGTTGAACCTCCTTTGCACGTGCAGGCGCAAGCTTGCCCAAGACGAGCAAACCTGCGCCCCAGAGTCGGGAGAGGAACCGGGGACTTGCTCCCGGCCTGATCCTGGCAAGCAAGAAGTCAAGTTGTGTGATCTTGTTTGGTGGCTTCTGCTCCGCAGACGTGCAAGCGACACGCTTGATTGATCTTGACGTTTTGGCATGCGGTCGATTCTAAATGCACAAGGACACTGCCTCGCTGGACCTTGCAGCGGGCCAGATCCTTGCAGATGCCGCGTTCAGCAACTCGGCCAGGGTCAAGGGTACGCATGAAGCCTTGGCCTGGAAACGATCAAGCAACATGCCTGCCTCCGTGCGCATTGACACGCTTCGCCGCTTCAACGGCAGCACAGGCAAGACAGACGGATGCTTTTCTTCTCGAGCGGACTCGACAACATAGCAACACGCCGGGAAGCCATGCTGAATACGGAGGCAACTGCCAACGCAATACAAAGCAAGAAGCTCCGCAACCCGCAACCCACCCTTGTCCCAAAGTTTTTTTTTTCCCCCGCTCTTGAGCACAGACTAGAGTGTCAGCGCTGCGATTTGCGAACATAAGCGTGTAGCTCTGCACTGCTCAACGAGCTCACGTTTTTGATGTTAAGTGTCGAAAAGACTGGGTTATGGCAGCAAAGGAGTTGGAACAGTTGATTTGGTTTGTGACTTTCCATAGTATCAAAAGGCGCTCGACTCGAAACTGGACCTTGGAGGTTCGGTTCGGTCCAAACGAATCCACCTGGCTTGTGTCGTTTCCTCGGGTGGGCTGAAGGTGAGAGTCGGGACACCACAAAGAAGCGAAAGCGCCCTGCAAAGGGTGCAAGAAGGCAGGCCCTGCAAGCGACATATTTGCAACATGGGCAGTTGAACCTCCTTTGCACGTGTAGGCGCAAGCTTGCCAAAGAGCAGCTAACTTGCTCCCCAGAGCCTGATGAACCAGGGACTTGCTCCCCAGAGCCTGACGAACCAGGGACTTGCTCCCGGCCTGATCCTGGCAAGCAAGAAGTCAAGTTGTCTGATCTTGTTTGGTGGCTTCTGTTCTGCAGCCGTTCAAGCGATACGCTTGATTGATCTTGACGTTTTGGCATGCGGTCGATTGTACATGCACAAGGACACTGCCTCGCTGGACCTTGCAGTGGGCCAGATCCTTGCAGATGCTGCGTTCAGCAACTCGGCCAGGGTCAAGGGTACGCATGAAGCCTTGACCAATATTTACACGCTGACGCGACGCAGCCGGCCACCGGGCGCCCTGCCCTTCGCTTTGGTTTTCTTCCCGTAGCTTGTCCCTTTATGTTTTTCTTATCTCCCGTAATTTTATTTGCATTCCTTTCCCTTGATTTTCCTTTCATTTGCATGCCTTTCCTGAAGTTCTCTTCATTTCCCCTCATTTCCCTTCCTTTCACACCAGTTTCCTGCGTTTCCCTGCATTTCACTTGCTTTCCCTGCATTTCAGTTCCTTTCCCTGCATTTCCCTTCATTTCCCTTCATTTCTGCATAGTTCCTTCATTTCCTTGCGGTTCCCTTCCGTTCCCTTCATTCAGTTCTTTCATTTCCCTTCATTGCACTTCACGTCATTTCCCTTCATTTCCTTGGATTTCTTTGCATTTCCCAGTTACTTCATATTCCTTCATTTCCGCTCATTTCCATTAATGTCCCTTCAGTTCCCTTCATTTATTTTTTTGATTTGCATTTATTTCACGATGTTCCATCCATTTTCCGTTCATTGTCCATACATTTTTTGCATCCATCTCCCATGCATGTTCTATTCGTTTTCCATTGATTCTGTCCAATGTCCATGCAATGTTTTTTTCTATCAATTTCCATACATGTTGCCGTTGATGTTCCATCCATTTCCCTCATTTCCCCACATGTCCCTTCACGGTGGCAACATCCCAACATCCCTTGGCATTTGCATCATCCACATCTGTGGTGGACATTGATGCGGATGACGCAGGTGATGCTGGGGATGTTGACCACTATGGGCGCCCCCCCAAAACACACTCGTTGTTGACTCCGCGGGGAAATTGTTCAAAAACCAAAATCGCCTTAACAAATTCACACATCCTTCGCCTCATTCAGACCCTTTGGTCCTTTGGAGCAAGGCTCTAGAGCGAAGCTCGATGGGGCTTCCACTCTCTGCTGCAGAGGATGCGGCTGCGCAAATCCGTGAGCATCACCTGCGTCTTTGGCGGGCTTGTTTTTGGGTCTGGCGCTGGGCCTGCAGCCTTGAGTCTGCTTGCCCCGGTGATGCGGGTGATGCTGGGATGTTGCTGGGAGCTGCCTCCCACACGGTGTCTCTTTTTTTTCAGCCTTGAAACACTGGAAAAACGCAAAAAAAGAAAACCGACGAGAGCACTTTGTTTGACATGCTTTGCGTGGCAAGTGCGTGCGCGCATGCGCGGCGTGCGTGCGCGGGTGCGTGAGTGTGTGTGCGCGCGCGCGGGCGTGCGGGCGGGCGGGCGGGCGGGCGGGCGGGCGTGCGTGCGTGCGTGCGGGCGTGCGTGCGTGCGTGCGTGCGTGCGTGCGTGTGTCTGTGTGTGTGTGTGTGTCTGTGTGTGTGTGGGTGCGTGCGTGCGTGCGTGCGTGTGTGTGTGTGTGTGCGCAGTTGGTTCTTGGTGGCTGTTGATGATGGTTGCTTTTGCTTCTTGTTGGTTGCTGTTGCATTGTTGTTGGTTGTTGTTTGGCTGTTGTTGGTTGTTGTTGTGCATCGCGGTGCTGCTGCGGCCGGTCGTGCGCCAGCGAGACAAACACCTGAAGGTAGCACTCTGGGCTAGGCCTTCGGCCCGGTCACGGCCCCGCGGTGGCCGGATTCTCGTTGCTGGCGGCAACGCCGCCGCGCCAAGAAACGCACTTGCGCGGAAGCGGTTCTGCGCGCGCGCGCGCGCAGAGAGCTGCTTATGCGGGAAGCGTCGCGCGACATGTTTTTGCGCAAGGATAGGCAGTGCGTTGACTTTGGGCTTCTGCCAAGTTTGCTTTTTTTTGTCTTCAAAGACCCCCCAGCCGCATCCTCTGCGTGCCCTGGTTGGCGGCGTCGGGCGGCAGCCCCATACACCTTCATTCGGCCAGTTGGCCGGATTTAAGGGTCGTCGCCCTGTGCTGCCGACCCCTAACCGTGGCCTCTCGCTTCTCCTGCCTGAATGAAAAGATAGAAACATGTAAAGAAAGAAGAGACGTAGAGATAAGTATAGACACGTAATCCAGAATGAGAGAAGGTGAGCGATACAGAGACAAATTACACGAAGGAGCAGATATGTCTTTCGCTTGTCACCTCCAAAACAACAGACAGCAAATTGCAATTCATAGTCACTAGCTTTTGGCTAACAATTGGATGAGATCTAGGTGGGTGGACCCTGCTGATGGCGACGATGATGATGATGATGATGCTGATGATGATGAAGATGATGATGATGATGATGGATGGTGGATGATGGTGGATGATGGTGGATGATGATGGGTGATGATGGATGATGATGGATGATGATGGATGATGATGGATGATGCTGGATGATGATGGATGATGATGGATGGTGATGGATGATGATGGATGATGATGGATGATGATGGATGATGATGGATGATGATGGATGATGATGACGATGGATGATGGATGGTGGTGGATGATGATGATGGAGGATGATGATGATGGGTAATCAAGACTGTGATGATGACTATCATCATAGCAGCCCCCCTGCATCCTCAACGATCTGACATCACAGTTGAAGCGTGTAAAATCAGAGCAGAACGAGAAAACAGTCCGCATCATCATAATTATCATAGTCGCATCCTTTGCATCACCATCTGCGTCTAGACAACTATCATCGTAGCATTCCTTGACGTGCAAGTGGGGCCTAACGTGGCGCTTGATTTCTATGTAAGAGTCAAACATTAAGGTCCGGTCATCATTAACCATTTTTTGATCATCGCTTTATCATCATATTAACATTATCATAAATTTCATCATCATGTTTATCGTCATCATGTTCTCGTCATCATTTTCATCATCATGTTCATCATCATTTTCATTATCATTTTCATCGCCAATGTTTATCATCATTCATATCATCATTCATAACATATCATATCATATCATAACATATCATATCATATCATATCATATCATATCATATCATATATCATATATATATATATATATATCATATCATATCATATCATATCATGTCATGTCATATCATATCATATCATATCATATCATATCATATCATATCATATCATATCATATCATATCATATCATATCATATCATATCATATCATATCATATCATCATCATCATCATCATCATCATCATTTTATTCAACATTTTTATCGCCATCGTCATCATGTTCTTCATCCTTGTCATCATCATGTTCCTTCCTCATCATTTTATCATGATTAATGTTTGTACAAAGCTAAGACCACGATGATGATGGCGATGATGATGATGACGATCACCAGGATGATGATTGATGATGATCACCAGGATGATGATGATGATGGTGGTGGTGGTGGTGGTGATGATGATGATGACTTGCAGACAAGGGGTCGGCGGAAATGCCAGCCTCCGTTCACATTTTAGAGCGGGAATCCATGCTGAATACCAAGGCAACTGCCAACGCAATAGAAAGCAAGAAACTCCACAACCCATCCACCTCCCAAATGAAGTTCTTTTTTTCCGCCCTTGAACACAGACTAGAGTGTCAGCGCTGCAAATTTGCGAGCCTAAGCGCGTAGCTGCACTGCTCAACGAGCTCACTTTGCAGATGCTAAGTGTCGACAAAACGGGGTTGTGGCAGCAAAGGAGTTGGAACAGTTGACGCGGCTTGTGACTTTCCATAGAATCAAAAGACGACGACAGACGCTAGGGCCCTCCGACTCGAAAGCGACCCGCACGTAAATCCAGCGAAGGAGTGTCGACTTGTGCTCATTTTCCCATGTGAATCAGGGGAACTGAGCAGTGCCACCATGGCTCACTTCGGCTGCCTCGTGAACGAAAGTTGTCTGGCTTGGGGCTTGGGGTTACCTCAGGTGAGACGTGACCGGCTCTCAGCGACCGGGGGGGGGTTTCCGTGCCCGTGCGGCTCGAGTCTCTCAGGTTCGGAGTGCTTGGCGGCCCTCAGAAAGGACGTGCCAAGCGCGCGGCGTTCAAAGCGCGCGGCGTTCAAAGCGGCGCGCCTGGCCCACCTCGTTGGCAAAAATGGTCACTGATCAGGGACCCATGGAGGATGGATTTTTGGGTTGGCCTGTTGGGCGATTGCCACTTGGTCAACTTGGAGGTTTTCCGCTTTGCCCGCTTGAAGCTGTGCACACGACAAGAGGCAATTTTGTTCTCCTACGTTCTATCACGTGTTTTTTGAGCAGCATGGACATTGAAGCATCTTCCAAACATCACTTTACGTGCGCGTTTGATGTGCCTAAACCCTGCATGCTGCCACGGAGCATTCGCAAATCATGAATCAATTTCGAGACGGCATCATGAAACGGGTACCGAATCGCCGCATTTCATCATGGGGACAGGTCAATATTGTATAGTTTTGCTGAAGATTCCTCGCACAGCACCACCAATGCAGCCTATTGCCATTCACTTAGAAGGGCAAAAGTATGATAGCATCGGGCTGTCGAGAGCTTCTGCGAGCTGAATATAGCAGGTTGGATGTAGGTGTAGGATTCGGCGTTTGGCTTTCGCTCTGCGGTTTTGGTCTTCAGACGGACCTCCGACCGTAGGAGTGCACCGCGGCTCTGTCGGGGCCGGAGTTTGAGATGAAGCCCTTCGATTGGAGCCCAGAGCCCACCTTGGTGGCCTTCGGCTCTTTTGCGCAGGTGGGCTCAGGCTGAGGGGATCGTGGATGTGTCAACTTGTCTGAGGGCACGGCTTTGAAAACCTCCGACCTCGATGTGCACCTGTCCTTCCAGCAGTTTGCAGTCCGAAGGAAGGAGAGGTTGGCTGGCAACGGCTCAAGTCGAGTGAGCGAGGACGAGTTTGCGCGCAGTCTTTTGGCAACTTCAGGAGCGCCAGGTGCAGTACTTGAGAGCGATCGAGTCATCTCTAAGCGGAGCATTTCAGGTGTGCAGTCTGATCGACACCGCTGCTGGGCACGGGCAGTTCGGGTCGAAGCTTCGAAGTTCGCCCCGCTTTTGCTTTTGGCTTCGAAAGGAAGCTTTTGGCTTTTGAGGCTTCCGCGGCAACAAGGAACCATGCTTATAGATACACACTAATACACATATATATATATATAATACAGAGCCTGTACGACATATACATGTATTGTTGACACATGGACGTGCAGCTAAGGCTAGAGTGCCTGTTCTTCGATTGTCCTACAAGGAGCTGCCGGTGGACCTGACCATGGGCGATGCGGAGGACTGCGGGTCGGTGGACGATGCCATCTCCTCCATCCTGGCGGCTGGACCCAGGGCACGCCAGCTGGTGTGCTTGGTCAAGGCCAGGCTTGGGTTCTGGTGGCTGCGGATGGAGGGTCCCCTCTGCTTTTGAGAGGGTTCTCAAGTTTTCAGGGTGGTGCAGCCCTGTTTTTTTTGGCCAGGGAAATATCTAGCTTGCGATCAGTTGCTTGTACGTCGGGCTGCGGGTTTGCCGTCATTTTGGGGTTGAGGCTGGTTTAGGGTTGTTCCAGGTTGTGTTTGGTGTCGCTTAGGCATAATATGATTGGGGGTTGATCGAGGATTTGGTTTGGCGGTTGCTTGAGGATGCGGGTCCTTTTTTTTCTCGCAAAAACTGAGTGTACGCTGATGGTCAATGTAGGGCTGGCTCAGCGGCTGGATTGGGCTTAGCTGATGGGCGGGGTAAGACCAGCGGGAAATCTGAGGCTAAAAGAGCAACAACTGTGGAGCAGCGCGGAAGATCAGAGAAGAAAAGTCACCCAAAAATGAAGAGCCACGTTGGAGGAGCAGCATTTGTTCATTTTTTTCCGCGGCAGTTTGGTTAGATGAAGCTCATGGGAACACCAGTGGTGAGCACGTGCCTCTCCAAGCACTTGCAGGCTTTTGCAAAGGCGAACGGGCTCGTGGACGCCTACAACGGCTACTTGAACTCTGTCTCCTGGGTGTTCCTCTGCATCAGCTTTCTCCAAGCCGAAGGATGCCTGCCGGCCTTCCAGGCCCCTTTTGCGCGCTTTTTTTGACGAAGAGAGAGATGGCCGTGGTTGTCGAAACCAAGGGGGCACCACCCATTTTAGAGCCGATTTGAGTGGTTGGATTGGGATGTTCACTGGGGGTATTTGGATTTTGACCCATGGCCAGATGAGCCGAAGAAATTGGCGAGGAGACCCCGACAGATCTCCACGCTGTACATTTGAATGTGGAGACCTTGAGCAGGCCCGAGTGGCAATTTTTGCACCGCATGAAGCACCTCAGCCTCGGCAGGGCGTTGGGCTTCATCGCTAAATGCTGCAGCCGGAGACATCGCATTTCTTTATGCAGGACGGGGATTGGATGCCAAAGGAGCAGCGAAACAACGTAAACACGTAAAGGAGATGCAGATGAATTGGCATGACCCTTGCACAGAAGCATGAAGCCGCCCTGAAACTTACGATATGCAAGTATGTATCACCGCGCAAGAGGAGTTTTATTAGTACGCATCCAGAACAATGTCTAGAATGACGCCTGCCTTGCGCACCAACTGATCGCTTTCCATGAGCAATCGTGAAGGTGTTTTGCGTGTCTTTTTGCTGTGACTGCGGCCCCAACTGGAGAGATTGCTGGGTGGTCTGAAAGGGCACCACAGCGACATAAAAGCAACATCCACTCAACTGTGATTTTGGTGCCACATGGGAAGACTTGCAGAGCGACAACTTTTGTGGCACGACATCGCGTGACATCCCGATTAGGAGCTTGGCCCGCAGGGCCATTCAAGCGCAATCAACCAACCTCCGAACAGCCTATCAGCGCGACGGAAGAAACATGCCCACAGAACATGCCGGTGTAAAGCTGGAACGCTTCTTTTAGTTAAGAACATTCAACGGGCGTTTGTTGGCGGCTTTGAAGGCGCAGACGCCCACGTGCCACAGGAGCACCCTCGGCCTGAGACCGCACCGCGGCCGCGAGCGGCGGCTTGGACTTGAGGCATCGAAGGAGAAGTTTTTGTTGCGCGCACCAGGGGACCGCAGGTTTTAGTCCTTCTTTCCATGTACCGGGGTTCCATTTGGGGGATGTGGACCGTGGGCCAATCTCAGGCTCTTCTTGGAGCATCCAAAGTTACCGGCGAGGACACGGGGGGGTGACAAGTGATTTCATGGCCTTGATCCATGAAATCAGTTGGATCTGACAGGAACTTGGCCTACTCTCTGCGAGCACCTGCGCCAAAGCAGATCGCCCGGGCCTGCGCTGCAGCCCAACTGCGGCTCAGCGCCTCGCCTCTTTGGACGGGGCATCTCGGTCCAAAGAGTTCGAAGCCCAGGAGCTCATGGCCCCAACGAGATCTTTTGCATCGAGACCAAAATGGCCGAGGACAGTCCGAAGCGCGCGCGGCTGGGGTGTCTGTGCGCTCGGAGTTGCACCTGACACGGCAAGGAAGTGAGTTCAGATTCGGGGCCACTGGCAGTTGGCCCTGTCAGAAAGAGGCCAAACACGGCAACGCAGCGGGTTGGCAGGTTCACTTCACCCAGCTCTGCCTTGAGGTTTGAGGCCTTTTGCGCATGAAGGCCCAAGCTTGCATCATGTACCTTGCCCGCTGCCATTGGGCATCAAGCTTGGTTTCACCTCATTGCACGCCTAGAGTCAAGTAGGACATTCAGGAATTATCCCTGATGTGCTCTTTGGGATTTGGTTGTCAAGCTTGGCCAGATCACAGTGTTTTCTTGCAGAAAGTGCCCAATGGGCGATCATGGGATGCGGAGCGAGCCAGATCTCGCCACATCAGGAGGAGGGTCGAAAGAGTGAATGAACGGAACTTAGCGTGTGCTTTGGATGGAAACATGAGAAGAGGTTTGCCGATCAACCATCAGAACCGGAAGAGGGGGACTCTCCAGGAGCTCGCCCGGCAAGCCCCCAGGAAGCATCCTGGTGATGGCCAGAAGTCGTCCTCCGTCAAGGCGTTCTGTTTCTCAAGGCGTCAGCGTCGAGTTGGGTGATGCTTCCCGGCAGGCTGGCGCCAGCGCAGATCCGGGCTATGCCTTCAGTTCGGCCGGGCTTCGCCTGGCCATGGAGCTGGACAGGTGGGAATCATCTTGTCAGAGAAGGAGCCATCCAACCGGTGGTTTTCTTTAAGGGGCACCCTGAGTTCATTCCCACATCTTGCTGGTGCTCAGAAGGGAATGAGGGAATGAACCTTATAAACCATCCAACTGGTGGTTTCCTTTAAGGGGCACCCACGGGTCATTCCCACATTCCCCACTGAGCACCAGCAAGTTCAGTTACTCAGTTGGCTGAACAGGCCACCGGAAGATCCTCGCAAGAGAAGCGTTCCAGAGCGCAGATTGGAGGCGCGACCTGGTGTGCAAGAATGTAGGATTGATGTCTGGACCGGTAATGCTGCCATGGCCATTCTCAGGAGCCTCAAAGACTTGGGTTGCACTGGCTAGTTCTTGGCGATTTCGAGCAGCTAGATTTGCTGGATGCTGCTCGGGCTTGATTCACTAGGCACTCTTGATGGGCTGGCGGCTGGCGTTCTTTTTTCTGGTTCCCAATTCGTCGATGAACCACCTTTTTCGAGCTCAGGAAACTCCCATGTCTGCGGTGTACCGCTTGCGCCATAGGCAAGGCTCCGCTGGCAAAGAACAGAGAAGTCCGCTCCCTGCGAGGCGAACAGGGGTGACCGTGGCCGGCAAGAGAATTCAGAAGGGAAGCGAGGTCCACCGATCCGGTGACTACTTGAACGAGGTGCAGATGCTTCAGAAGCTCTCTGCGGCCCCGTACATCGTCTCGCTGCATGGCTTCTCAGCTGCACGTGCGTGAGCGTTTCCTACGACAAAATGCGACCGAAGTGGGATGAGTGTGAGGTGTTAGGCCATGATGTGACCAAAATGCGATGAGTGTGAGGTGTTTGCGAGGATGACGCCGACTTTTGGACCATCATGGAACTCTGTCCTGGTGGCAGACTGGAAGTGTGGCTCCGGCAGTTTCCCCATACGGCAAGGAAGGCTGTTCTTCAACTCCTTGAGGCCAGCATGAAACACGAGACGGAGAATTTGGCAACTGTTTCAGACACAAGCATGCTAGTTTTGTGGGACATGCAGTCGATCGTTCACTCCTTGAATCTTGCTTTCGATTGATGTTGCAGGCCGTGCACTACCTGAGTCTCGCCGGCAGAGTGCAGAGATGTTGTCGCACGTTTCGTCACATGCTTGCCACGTTGAGCCCGAGCGCAAGCTGGAGGCATGGGAAGTTGGTGTGCCACCTGGACATCAAGCCAGATAACGTGCTTCTGTCCGGAGCAGGAGTGCTTCTGTGGAGAGAGGACGAAGCGCGAAGCACTTCCGAACCCGCAGCCGTCGCCGTGAGGAGAGGTGCGGCTCTGTGACTTTGTCACTGCATGCCAGCTCCAAGATGCCGAGCAGCAGCTGGTTGGTCGATGCGGCACGGAGAGCTTCCGAGCTCCGGAGGTGTGCCGAGGCTCACTTTGGAAGCTGCCAGCGTGGTATTGAGTGCATCTTGCCCAGGCGCGTACTCCGGTCTGAAGGCAGACGTCTTCTCCCTGGGCCGCACCCTACAAGTGGTGGAGGAGGACAATTGGCCGCAGCAAACCAGTCCGTACCAGCCTTCATAGCGCTTGAGCCCTGAGGAGTTGTGTTCTGCCAAGCAGACGTGGCCAGATCTTTGGCAGCATCAGCCATTACTGCGTTTGGCGTGAGCATGCTACAGTCTAAGGAGCTGGCCGACATCATACCGTACATGCTGCAAGATCCGCCAAGTCGGCCCAGGGCTGGCGACGTGAAGCAGTTTCTCTCTGGGCCCAAGCGAGAAACTCGCGAGCCTTGGCTGCAAGAAAGCCGACCAACACAAGCAGCGGCAACAGACAAATAGACAAACGGACATACGCAGGGCACAGAGATACAGGATGGCCCATCAACCTGTTCTTATGGTCCCATGAGGGTCAATAGTTGATGCCTACTTAAATCGTCCGAAACCAAGTGACTAAGTGAACATTGTTTGTCGCCCATGTGAAAGACGCAGGCGGCGGCTGGTGGGAAACCGGCGGCCTCCAAACTGCCTGCTGCAAAAGCGAGCGCGCCGATGCGCAAGGCACAGCCGAAAGGACGCCCTGTTGAAGCTGAACCTTGGTTTTCTGGTGAAGATCAATTTTGTATTCGTTGTAGAATTCAAGGTGTGTGCGAACTTGTTCAACCATCTCGGCAGAACTGACAGTCAATGGGTCGGAGCGTTGGTTTCCCTTGGGTTGTGCGTCTTCCTGGCAGGCTTGTTTTGAGTGGAAGGCGACAACTTGCCCGTTAGAGAGAAAGAACAACAATAAGGGTCCTGCTTCTATGGAGGGGCTAAACAATTTGGCATGCCAAGCTCCTCTACCCTGAAGGGCTGCCAAAGCAGCTACTGCCAGCGGCTTGGCGCTTGCATTTGCCACGACACTGTCCCAACCGCCATGGCTGTGATGACTCCGCAGGCCCAGCGAGCTGTTGAGGGCAAGAGACTGCTCTCTGGGAATGTCCGTAAGAGCCCCCTTCGGATCAACTTTGAGACAGGGAGAGCCACGTTCTCTCTCAACTGCAGGAGCGACAGAGACATTTTCGACGATGCTCTACGCCATGAACACATCATACTTTAACATAACACGCCGATCGGAATTCATCCTTTCCCAAAAATACATTTCGATGTTCATATACAACATAACAAATCGAAAGCGAATCGATGGCCACTTTATCAACTCAATTTATGTGACAAAAACCCTTGGTTGGCGATAAAACACAACTCTGTTTATATGTTGATAGATAAAAAACAACACTATTTAAATGGAAAATAAGAAAACAAAACGCAAGAACATAATCGATATTGAATAGTGATAATAAATTATTTCCCCACCCGATAGGAAAGGGTTGTTAGATTTTCGCCAGTGGATCCCGCCGAGTGTCCCGCTGCAGCAACTCGCCAGTGTGAAGTTCTCAGCCTCGTGTGTGTGAGCCTCTTGTGTTTTGCCTACAGAGCCACAACCTCGCACACGCTGTTCGCCGTTTTGGTCCGAGGGATCCCTTTAGCCATTTGGTCTTTGTACTTTAGCTCGAGGCACCCGAGCATGCCATGGAGTAAGAAAAGAGCGGCAAGTCAACTTGCTGACTGGTTGGGGGCTTGCTCTAAACCCCCGGGAGCTTTGAGGCTCCAACGTTGGTAGCGGAGCCCGGCGAACCGGGCAGGAAGATCAGGGAAACACCACACCACCCAGAACATGGCCGCAGGCAAAAGAGTTCTACGTGACGTGGGACGGAGATCCGGCCACTTGGGCCGACTACACACGCAAGGCGCGACTGCAATGGGAAAAGACTCCCTCCTGGAACTGACTGGGAGAGCATGGGCCGTGACCTACGAGCTTTCGCGCGAGAAGCTGAGCAAGAAGAACGGCACGAAGTACTTGCTTCGTTATCTGCAAGATCGACTATGTCGAACCCCGGTGCCTCATGCCGGAGCAGGGTTGGAGGACCTCCTCATCAGGCTGAGAAGGCTGCTGGGAATGACCATGAGCCAATAGTCAAATGAGGTGCAGGAGGCGTACTGCAAGGTTCAGCGAGCCTTGGTCAGGGCTCGCAAGATGGAGCCGAAGAAGGACCTCACGAAGGCGATCTTGGACAAGAGCGCCTCATCTAAGTCAGAACCACATGGAGAACCTCAAGGAGGCGCTCCCTCGGTGATCTCAGCCTCGGGAACCGCCACGCGGACGCGAACGCCAGTTCAAGAAGGAGAAGCGGTGGAGGAAGAGGAAGCCGCGCGCGATGTTCATGAAGCAGAACATGGTGAAGAATGGAAGGATGAAGAATGGGAAGATGGGAGAAAGTTCAAGAAATGGAAGCAGTCTGGGCGCGCGAAGAGTCATCAAGAAGATAGCGGAGATGATCGATCTTCGGGAGAGGATCTGCCGTGGGATGAGCTTGAGGTGGAGGATGTGCAGGTGCTCCCGGACGAGGTTCACGGGTGGACCTACTGGGTCGAGGAGGAAGGCGCGTGGGGCTTGCTTATGACCCCAGATGACGCCATGGATGAGTTGAGTGGAGAAGTGCACTGGGCTGGAGATCGGCTACCTGCTCTGCTGAAGTACACCCTCAAGCAGTGGAGGAACACCTCAACGACGAGGTCTACTGGTCCTGGGATGATTCCGGGTGGCGCGGCTACCTGCATAATGACTATGGGTACTGGGTGGAGACGGACGGCTATGGCACATTCTGGGCGTCTGAGGGAGACATCCCCTCTGACCTCAACCCGGAGTTGCTGCAGGAGTAGAAGGAGCTGGACGACGCCTACGCGGCCTTTGTGGACAAGGCCCGGACCTTCGCGCAGAGCCAGACCTTTCAGAGAGCAAAAGGTGGGGCGCGTGGGTCCCTTCGGCAAAGGCAAGGGGAAGAAGGGCAAGCAAGCCAAAGGGCAACTTCGGGAAGGGCAAAGGCTATGGTGGCTGGAAAGGTTCATCTAGCTCAACGTTCCCTCAGTGATGAGCGGACGAATCTACATGATCACGGAGCACGAGGAGCAGAAGGTCTTCGTGGGAGGCACGGACATGATGATGGATGATCATGAGCGACCTGGAGGAGTTGTTCGGGAGACTGCCGGTTTCGGGGTGCTGGACATCGGTGCCACCAAGACGGTCGGATCCTTGGAGGCGATCGAGAAGCTGTGCCAGCTGCGAGGACCGCATCACGCCAAGGAGATGAAGGTGATTCCACATGGCCAGAAGTCGTTCCGGTTTGGGAACAACCAGGTTCAGCGGTCAGAGAGCTACATCCTGGTGCCTCAGCAGGTTGGACAACAGTAGTTGCAACTGGGGATCTTCACGTTGGACGTGGGCCAGATCCCCATCCTCATCGGAGTGAAGACGCTGACCAAGCTGGGCGCAATCTTGGATGTAGTAGCCCAAGGGCGTTTTGATGAGGCGGAGACTTTGTTTCGAGAAACTCTTGATGGACGTCGAGCTCAGATGTCTGATATACATGTTGACACGCTAGCAACTATGGAGAACTTGGCAGAGCTCTTACGTGTGCAAGGCAGGCTTGAAGAAGCAGAACCTTTGTTTCGAGAGGGTTGTCGCCTGCAGGATACAGCACACCCACTCACGTTCACAACTATCAACCACTTTTCCGTGCTGCTGAAAGCACGTGGAAAGTCCGAGGAGGCGATAGCTTTGTTACGAGAGATTGTGTAGAGTCGCCCAGAAGATTTTGGCTATGAGGTCTATAACATTGATCAAATAGGTATAACTCGATTACACCTCTGTTTTTTGCTTCTTGTTTTCTCCATCTTGTCTTATCTTTTTTATTATTTCTTTTTGTATATTCTTTTTTTATATTCTTTTCCCGAAAGCACGGCGAAGGGTTCTTCCGCTGGGTTCACTTGAGTTGTTCTCATGAGAGTCATTACAAGGTGTCATTGCAAGGAATCATCATCATAAAAGTCATTGCAAGGAGTCATTGCAAGGAGTCATTGCAAGGAGTTATTGCAAGGAGTCATTGCAAGGAGTCATTGCAAGGAGTCATTGCAAGGAGTCATGGCAAGGAGTCATGGCAAGGAGTCATTGCAAGGAGTCATGGCAAGGAGTCATGGCAAGGAGTCATTGCAAGGAGTCATTGCAAGGAGTCATTGCAAGGAGTCATGGCAAGGAGTGCAAGGAGTCATTGCAAGGAGTCATTGCAAGGAGTCATTGCAAGGAGTCATTGCAAGGAGTCATTGCAAGGAGTCATTGCAGCACTTGCAACTTGCACTTGACTCCTTGCACTTGCAACTTGCACTTGACTCCATGCACTTGCAACTTGCACTTGCACTTGCCTTGCACTGCTCTTGCACTTGCAACTTGCACTTGACTCTTGCACTTGCAACTTGCACTTGACTCCTTGCACTTGGCACTCGCACTTGCAACTTGCACTTGTGCACTTGACTCCATGCACTTGGCTCCTTGCAACTTGCAATGGCTCTCATGACTCCTTGCAATGACTCCTTGCAATGACTCCTTGCAATGACTCCTTGCAATGAATGACTCCTTGCAATGACTCCTTGCAATGACTCCTTGCAATGACTCCTTGCCATGACTCCTTGCAATGACTCCTTGCAATGACTCCTTGCAATGACTCCTTGAAACAAGCAAGGAGTCAAGTGCAAGTTGCAAGTGCAAGGAGTTAAGTGCAATTGACTTGCGAGGAGTTAAAATCTCTTCTTAGGGCGGCGGGGTAGTGCCGACGACACTACACGAAAATCGACCCTCTGCGGGGATTGGCGTGGTCGAGGTGCAAAAACCCATGGTTTTTTGCGATTTCTAACCTGCTCGCGCGACCCTCTGCGGGGATCGGCGTGGTCGAGGTGCAAAAACCCATGGTTTTTTGCGATTTCTGCGGTGCTCGCGCGACTCTCTGCGGGGATCGGCGCGGTCGAGGTGCAAAAACCCATGGTTTTTTTGCGATTTCTGCGGTGCTCGCGCGACCCTCTGCGGGGATCGGCGTGGTCGAGGTGCAAAAACTCGAGGTTTTTTGCGACTTTTGTTGTTCGAACTGGTCCTCGGGGAGTTATCTCGTGGTTCGCGCGCCTGCTCCCGGAACCGGCGGGTCGCGGGTTCGATTCTTCCCTGGTCCGCGGGCGGGCGTCGTAAGATGCAACTTGCATTTTATAGCAACTTGCGCAGAGCAACTTGCGTAGAGCAAGTTGCACTGTGCGACTTGCACAGACCAACTTGCACCGACTAGTTTGCGCAGAGCGCCTTGCTTAGAGCAACTTGCGCAGAGCAACTTACGCAGAGCAGCTTGCACAGAGCAACTTGCATAGAATAGCTTGCACAGAGCAACTTGCAGGGAGCGCATTGCGCAGAGCAACTTGTAGGGAGCCACTTGCAGGGACCAACTTGGAGCAACTTGCGCGGAATAACTTGCGCAGAGCAACTTGTATAGTGCAACTTGCATAGAGCAACTTGCGTAGACCAACTTGCGCCGACCAGTTTGCGCAGAGCACCTTGCCTGGGGCTGTCTCGCGCTTGCTTCACGAAGTGTAGGGAAAAAGAACGTATTTTGCAGCGTTGGGCCGACCTCGCTTGTGATGTTCTGCTTTCGGGCTAACCGTGGTCTAATTTTTTTAATATTTTTGTTTATCTCTACTTTATTTTTTGTTTATTTTTTGTTTTCTTTTATTATTATTATTTATTATATATATATATATTATTTTTTTATGTTTTGGTTCTATGTTTTTTTAATGTATGTATGTTTTAGGCCGTGGGTCCCCTCCTCCCCCCTTCCTGCCCCCCCACCTAACCCCCCCTCCCCTGTGGGGGTGGGGTGGGTGGTGGGGTGGTGGGGTGGTGGGGTGGTGGGGTGGTGGGGTGGTGGGGTGGTTGGGTGGTTGGGGTGTGGTTCGGAGTTGGTTTAGGCTTGGTGGGTTGGTTTAGGGTTGGTTTAGGGTTGGTTTAGGGTTGGTTTAGGGTTGGTTTAGGGTTGGTTTGCGGTGGGTTTTGGGTGGGTTTGGGGTTTGGGTGATTTAGGTTTAGGGTTGGTTAAGGATTTGGGTTTGAAGTTTTAGGACTTATATGGTATTGGATAGTATCCTTAGCATTGCTAGCATTATCCTTAAGATGC